CATTCTTCCAGCTCTTCTGTGTTAGATAATGCTCATAATAAAATCTGAAAACAATCGGTGAGTACAAAATCTGAGGCCACCAGGGCTATGATTATAGCTTTTTTTTTTAGATAACTAAGAGCTAGAAGAATCATTGTAAATTATTTTATGAAACAACTGGGGCTTAATAATTTTTATTAAATAATAGCATTTTTACTAGAATTCAACATCACATTTTCAACAAAAAAATCATATTTATGATGGGAGATGTCATTCTGTAAATCTGTTTCTTATTGGTTATTGAATAAAGCACTGTTGGTCAATAGGGAAGCAAGATAGGTGGGACTAGGAGTCAAGGAGGATTCTGGGAAAGAGAGGCAGAGTCAGACACAATGTAAGCTGCCAGAGTAAGAGGTCCGGACCCTTTTCTCCAATAAAAAAAATACTTAGATTAGCAATTATGGGTTAAATACTTAAGTCAGAGCTAGCCAGTAAGAAACAAGCAAACGGCCAACAGCTTCATAATTAACATAGCCTCCTTGTGTTATTTGGGGACTGCAACTGTGGCAGGGCCTAGGCTGCTGGCAAGGAAGACTACACTCTACAATATTTATATTCACATAAAACTATTTTTAAAGCAAATAGTCTTAAATGTTGCCTTTATACTATATTAAACATTAGGTAGCTCAAGGATCAATTTTTTTTTTTTTTTTTTGGTTTTTATGAGACAGGGTTTCTCTGTATTGTTTTGGAAGCTGTCGGTCCAGCCCAGCCTCGAACTCACAGAGATCTGCCTGCCTCTGCCTCCCGAGTGCTAGGATTAAAGGCGTGCACCACCACCGCCCGGCAAGGATCACATATTTATAAATGTTATTTTCTGAAAAATCTGACACCTTCCTGAAAGAAAATCATACTGGAAATACATACTGGAATAATCTGTAAATCCTATATACTCTTTCTATGTGCAACTACATGATACTTTCCTAAAAATGCTACTAAAAAAGAAAAAATGACTTGCTATCAGGAATATCTAAGCAGTCTTCCTTCTTTCAAATTTTCCAAAAAAAATAAAACTTAAGGAATTTAAAGGATTATTTATGACTACTGACATAGCCAAAATGGATTTTGTACACTGATGACAGATTGTTAGTTTACATTTCTTACAACAAAAAAACAGAAAAAGAAAACTAGTTCTCCCACTACATTAACAAAACAGCACACTACTATAGAGTCTCTTAAAACAAGTCAGGAGAATATAAGGTTTCAAAAACTAACACTTCTGACTTTTCTTTTTGCCTCATGAAGCACAGGAACACTAGCTATTTGCTATGGAGGAATTTCTCTTGACGCCCATGTCAAAATTAGTTGTCCCCCCCACCATATAAAACATACTTCACAATTGAGAAGAATAAAACAGCAAGTCCAAGTCCCTTTCTCTCAGCAGACAGCCCCACAGACAGAGGACACAATGAGGCATGTGCAGCAAGGACTCCTAGGATGGGAATGAGGCAGGTGAAGGTCACATGCGCAGCAGAAACCACCTCCTTACATAAAACTACTACAGAGTTAAGTGGGAAGGTCCTGGGTGGGAGTCAGGACTTCCAATTCATTTATCTTAGGAGAAGACCAAAGGTCTGAACTGTGTACAGTGCCCTGAAGATAAATTATGCAGGAATGTCACAAAAAACACACAAAACCCCAGAACAATTCTGTACAGGCCAAATAAGTCTTGAGCAAAAGACTAGAGAAGGGAGATACTTTACTCAACCAAAGGAACAGGCTATATTTGGAACTAATTATTGGGGGGGGTCAAACATAACTACTCTTGACAACAGTGGAGATTACGGTGGTAAGCAACTGAGAGGAAGCCAGAAGCTGCTTCTAGGCAACAGCTAAACTGTGGACCAGGGACCTATCAGAGATAAGCTGAAAGGGAGACAACTGGAAGAACCCTCTCAGATCAGAGCAAATCTCAATGGCTGCCCTCAAGAACTGCCCCAGCCGAGAAATCCAGATTTAATTACACCTGACTACAGAGAAATATACCCCCAAGTGCTGCTGAAAAGAAGACAACCAGTAGAGCATAGACACTGCATGTGAAGCCAACAGAAGCAAACATTTAGAAAGATACTACTGAAGCCACTGTCACCAAGGAGGCTGCACGTATTCCCCAAGGCTGAGTCTCTGATGAGATGACACAGAGGCTTCTCAAACACCACCACATACTCGCCTTTCTTTGCTTCACAGACTTAAGTAATGTGTGCATACTTATTTTGTTGGGGCAGCTGACAGGCTGTAAAGAAGCTGGACAGGGCTAACCCTGTGCTAGAGTTAGGAAGTGACACCAGTCTAAGTAGTCTTAAATCAACAGGAACAAATAAAAGCCAGAAGAAGCAAATAAGTTTAATAAGACAAATTATAAATAGCTATTCTTTTTAAGCATTTATTATTAATTATTATTATTGTCTATGGGTGTTTTGCCTGCATGTGTTCCACAGGCATGTAGAGCCTACAGAGGCCAGAAGAGGGCATCAAATAACCTTAGGACTAGAGTTAAAGATGTTTCTGAACTGCCATGTGGGTGAAGGGAATCAAACCTAGGTCCTCTGGAAAAGAAGCCAGCGTGTTTAATTGCAAAACCATTTCTCCAGCCCCAATATTTACTTATTCTTATCCTTTTTATCAGCTTATAAAAGACAAACATTTTTCAAGCTTTATTACTCTTATTTTTAATTATATGCATGAAAGTTTGCTGTGTGTGCGTGTCTGAGGGGTTAGAAGAGGGTATTGGATCCTCTGTAGCTAAAGTTACAGTCTCTGTGAACTGTCCTATATGGGTGCTAGGAACTGAACTCAAGTCCTCTGGAAGACTACTTACTCTTAACCACTGAGCTATCTCTCCACCCCCAAGACACAAAATTATATAAACTATAACTGATTTATAATATACATAAAATGTGTTAACAGTAATATAACAGCACAAAAAGGGAATAGACAAGAGAAACTAGAACTACACAGATGTAATACTTTTTTGTATCTACAAGGAATGAAGTTAGTATAAATCTGAATTAGACCCTGTAAAGTAAAATCCATAGGATACGTTCTATATTAGGCACTTTCAAGATATTTTTGTTTGTTTGTTTTTATTTTTTGTTTTTCGAGACAGGGTTTCTCTGTATTGTTTTGGAGGCTGTCCTGGAACTCGCTCTGTAGACCAGGCTGGCCTCGAACTCACAGAGATCTGCCTGCCTCTCTGCCTGCCTCTGCGTCCCGAGTGCTGGGATTAAAGGCGTGCGCCACCAACGCCCAGCCTTTCAAGATATTTTTATGACTCAAAAACGTAATTTAAAAATCTTAAGAGGATTTTTAAATGTTATACAAGAAACTAATCATGCATTACAATAAAAAAAAGCACAAAGAATCAGAGGAACAAAATGACAGAGATATACAGAAGTGAAAAATGTAGGTAAAAATTTACCGAGCCTTTTGGGCTCTGTCTTGAGCCATCCATTCTTGAATACAGACTTCCTCTGTATGTCTGCCACCATAGGGACTTCACACCAGGCAGGATCTTAGATGATCCAGCATGCTACTAATTACTCCCTCCTCTGTAAGACCATATGGTTCAGGTAAAGAACATCCTCCACCCAGACATTTTAAAGCCTGCATTGCCCCAGCACCTGGCTCTGGGATAAGACTATACCTCAAGTAGCTAGGAAGGATATCCTTTCACCTTGTTCACTGAAGCCCCCAGGAAAGAATCATGCTGGTTTTTAAATGCTGAGGTCAAGAGTGTTAGAATGACGCGTCCTACAGTTACAGCATCCATCTCTACTGCCATGAAGTCGGTCTGAGATTAAACAATTATAAAGTGGGACTAGAAGACAATGAGCTCAAGACACAAACCTGGCATCCCCACAAGGAATAAGGCTAGTTCTGAATTATACATACAAGTAAAATTCTCTTGTTTAAAAAGAAAATTATCACTTCAAGGGTTAAGTTGTAGCTCAGTGGTACAATGTTTGCCTATCATGTACACAGTTCAATATCCAGCACAAGAAAAAAAGTCAGTGCAATTTTGGTTTCTATTGCCTACCAAGTTGTTTTTCTTAGCAACTAAACTATATATTTTTTTAATTCTTCCTAGATTGTCTTAACTCATTATCAAACTTTTTTAGTAAGTCAAGACATATACTAAAGTACTGACAGACAAAATGGCACAATGGCTTAGATCTGGAACAAAATAATCCAACAAAATAGCAAAGAGCATAAAGAGGGAGACAAAAATAAAGATGGCAACATGTTGAAAACTGCTGAAAATGAATAATGGCGTCTAGGAGTTTAGTACTTCCAAAATAACTTTTAAAAGAAGTTTGGCTCCTAACTAAATCTGCACAGCTCATTTGTTCTCTCTATCACCTGACACACAGCCAATGCTCTAACCACACTAAGCTAAGTAGTGCTTCCTCAGGCATGCCATGGAGTTCAGCCTCCACAGAGTTAATCATGCTGGAGCTCGTGCCAGGATCACCCTTCTCTTTCAGTCCAGATAAACTCCTACTCATCTGCCTATGCGTGGCTCAGTGCCACGTCTGCAGCTGTTGGTGCCTTTATTCCAACACATCACTCACTATCTCACCATCACAACTGTACAATCTCTCACTCATTTAATATCCACAGCCTGAGAAATGGTGGCCCTCAACAAGTACTTGTTAGATGATGCTCTATACAACAATCTCCACAGGTTTGGTTCTTTCACTTCATGGGATACGCAGTAAATGCCTACTGACTAGGCTGGAGAACAAACCCCTAATAATGCTATATTCAGGATTCTGGTGAGAAAACTGCGTAAGAATTTACAATTATTTTTTATTAAAGGATTTAAAATGCTAGGTCTGAATCCTTTCCACAAAAGCTCAGTAAAACGACACTCAGAGTCATCAACTCTACTTAACAGCTAAGATATATTGTGTTTCTTTACAATCATGTCAATACAGGGAAAAATGTTTAAGAGACAGTACCTCAGTCTTTCCACATTCAATAGGTGAATCCTGGTGTATGGCCACTTGATACTTGGTATATAAAGAAAGGGACTGATTGAAGGATGACTTGAACTCTGGATCCTCAAAGGAGGCAGGTACTAGCCTCACCTTCAGAGCAAGGAAAATATAAGCCAATGCTATTGAACCAACTCTACCTGTTGACACGCTTCTGAAGATGAGGCTAGAGGAAGATCTCCACAAACCATTTCCAAAGTTCAGCCCAGTATTTGTCAGAAAATAGCAGGAGTGGAGCTAAGTGGCACTAGGCCTGAGTGCCAACTTTCTACCAACATTCATGAAAACCTTAAACTCACAATAGCCAATTTGTTTCTGCTTTGGTTTTTTCTGTCAACCAACCATGTTGTCACATACACTAGCCACTACTGTTACTAACTGGTCTTAGCCAGTACTTCTACCACTCTACCAAATGAAGTGTTTTAAGCTTTTTTAACCCCACACTATTTTTAATCAACTGCTATATAAAATTGTAAGTGGAGAAGGATGTCTATTAAAGATTTCTACAATCTTCCTTTTCCTTCATTTCTCTGTTATGTATGGGTATTCCATTAATAAGGAATTACTGAGCTGCTATGAACTCTTTCTACAACTTTCTAACATGGATGAAGCATAGTAACACATCAGGCCAAGTACATCTTCTTCTCATGGGTATTTAACTTGAAGCTCCACCACTCATTTATAGATAAATGTGTCCATACACAGCAGCTTTGAATAAAGGCGAACTTCACATGTGACTTTCCACTTTGAAATTCTGTATAACTGGCACTTAACACACCAATAGTGACTTCACATTTACAGAATGTCCACTCACTCAATCTTATCTTTGTGCAGATACGCTATACACTGGATATTATAAACAAAAATATAGTGTAATTAAACCAAGATCTCATACTTGGCCTGCTGACCTGGCTCACAGTTGGTTTATCAGGTGGATCCTTGTGAATAATCATCTGGTAACGCTTATAGACCTGGTAAGACTCCTGAAATGTGGCTTTGAACTGAGGACTTGGTGGAGTAGATCTCACCACCCTCACCTTCAGAAGGAGTTAAAAAACAATGTTCATTAATTCATTCATTGATTCACTTCTTCAGAATATGTAGTAATAGAAACTCCCAATCAAAAACAAACATGTTTTAACAAATATTAAAGCATAAACATATATTTTAACATTAAAAATCAACTAAGTAAATGAAGAAAAAGTTAATGTTGCAATATACAGTCTACTTAAAGAAAGCAAAGAGAATACTCTGTATATTTAAATTTAAGCCTCGTCTCTGACAAATTGAATACATCTATCTCTACTGTGAACTTAGCGCAGTAACACAAACACTCTTTAATTTTAGCTGTCCATAACTTACTAAAAATCAGTCAGTCAGTAACACTAAAAACTACAACTATACCTTTGGGCACCTTTAGTCTTCATTATTAACTCCAAACCTACAACTAACCCTGTAACTATGAAAAGCAACTTTCACAAAGTGTATGCACTTTACTATAGAGTTAAATGCAGACTCTTATGTTTCCTTTATGCTGTACAATGTCAACATCTTGGACAACTAAATGAAGCTCTCTGGGCCTTAAATGAGGTTAAGTTAAATATGGTAACTGTGCACAGGACTATACTAACAGTTAAGATGCATTAGTAAAATAGTAGCAAATGGAAATTAAATGCACTACAATAAGGGCATAAGTGGGCACTTCATGTTGGTGAAGGGAAGAGTGATATCTAGCAGATAACAAATTCCTCACACCCTGGGTATTATATAGAACTATTATTATTTGAGGTGTAGTTGACTCCTTGAACAAACTATTTATGATCAAAGGATAAAAACCTCTTCTTAAAGTATTTTAAGTAGTATAGTCAATTCTCTACAATTCTGGAAGCAGGAAAGTCATATTTACATCAAAGTAACAAGCGGGTGTAATGGCCAAAGTTATTAAAATTTGTCTGAAATACACCTATGGTGAACCTTTTCAATTTCCTGTGTGTCTGTGTGGGTGTACAGCACATACACATGAGTGTGTGGGTGAGTACACATGCCTATGTTTGCCAGACTGAATGTAGCTCCACTGCTCTACCTCTTAATGCTTCTCACCAACCCAGACGTTCACCTTTTGGCTAGATAGGTTGGTTAGCCAACAAGTTCTGGGGATCTACCAGCCTAAACCCTACAAAGCTAGCGTTACAGGCACACATGGCCATGCTTTTTACATGGGTACTAGAGATTCAAACTTAGGTCTTCACTCTTCCCCACTGAGCCATCTCTTCAGCCCCATCAAGATTAGCATTAATATCCTTGAATACTACTAAGTTACAAATTAAATAAAGCATGAGAATATTTTAAATAATTATGGTTAATGTTTAGAAAATAATTCTATTACATATAATTAATATTGAAAATTCCAATCTGTTGTTGAAATATGAAACAGCTTGGGAAAAATGGGAAATTAGCACAAAAAATTTAGCTAAATTGGTTAGGATTTTTTTCTTGGTTTTGGTTTTTTGAGACAGGGTTTCTCTGTGAAACAGTCCAGCTAGCTGTCCTGGAACTTACTCTATAGAAGAGATCCACCTCTGCCTTCCAGTGCCTCCCTCTATGTACATTTTCTCAATTAATGATTGATGAGGGAGGGTCCAGCCCATTGCAGATAGTGCCATCCTATAAGAAAGCAGGCTGGGAAAGCCATGGGGAACAAGCCAGTAGAAGCACCCCTCCACTGCCTCTGTATCAGCTCCTGCCGTTTCAGTTCTTATCTTGACTTCCTTTGATTATGAACAGAAATATGGTAATGTAAGTCAAATAAGTTCTTTCCTCGCCAACTTGCTTTGTGGTCATGATGTTTTGTCACATCAAAACAATAGTACAGTTCAATTTGTATATGTGACACTGGTGCTACTAGGTTGGAATAGTATACTAAAACTGATTTACTTATTATCATCTAAACTTTTGCCATTTTACTTTCTAAAATTAAATTAATTTTAAAATATTTTTGTTTTGTAAACACTTATTTGCAACCAAGTAACACAAAAAGCCAGAGTACCCTGCTTAATAACATGCTACAATGAAACTTTTTTAAACAATTATAATAACAGTTGCCTAAAATATTTTCAAAAGCTCTTGAAGAATTTTCTCAAATAGCAGTTGACTCACTGTAACATAAATGCTAAACAGTAAAACATCAACAGGTTAAGTATTAGTTCAGAGAAAATAGCCAACACAAAACAAAACACAAACAGCCACAAAAACCTTCCAAGTACCTCTAACTTGTGAGATGCATTCTCTGGTAAAGATTCAAAAATTAAATCTTCAAGTGACTTGGGCTGATTGGATTTAGCCTTTGGTAACAAAGACGCTGGCTGACCTTGAGCCTGGAAGCCCTCGAAGGCTCCAGCTGAGTTTTGCTGCATGAGTTTTAACCTTTTCCTTTCTTTCCGCATTTCCTTTGCTTTTCGACATGGAGGCTTACTCAAATCAGCCCCTTTACCTAAAAAGAATGTCAAAATATTAGACCAATGACATTTGATCTAGAAATGTTTTGTTAAGTCTTGTAGATTACACAGTTAAGTCCAAAGAGTTCACATTGAAGTTTCACAGGATCATTAACATTCTACCCCAGAGATAGGTGCAGTCAAAGAAGTCAAATAGTCATTCAAACTTCTCAAGGCAGTTCTATTATTGCTTTGTTCATTCATTCATCCATCCATTTTAAATATCTGCCCATTTTTCTGCTTTTGCAAGTAGAAATCATCACATTGAGGGTCAGAATTCTGCCTCTCTGGCCCACATTTCTAGGGACATTTTTTAATCTAGAACAAACTCTGGTGGGTGGTGGTTGTAGTTTTTCTTTTAATTAAGAAGAATTCTTGAGAAAAAGACAAGATCTCCTGAGTAAATTGGGAGCATGGGAGAAGGGGAGAAGGTGGAATGAGAGAGGGGAGGAGGGAACAGGGGTGGGGGAAAAAGTATAGCTCAAAAAAAAAAAAAAAACACTAGAATAACAATAAGAAAAAGAAAAAATCTTTGCTCATTTTAACATATTTATGTCTCCAATTAGTGATCACAAGTTCAGGTTAATGAATTTTATTCTAATTATAAGATAATGTATTAACTGATAGGTCTTTAAAACTATCTAGGTGTGGTGGTTCACCCCTTTAAGTCCTGCACTTGGGAGGCTGAGGCAGTGGGTATGATAGTTCCAGGCCAGCCCCATTTGCGTAGTGGTTCTAACCAGGACTACATAGTCAGACCATGCCTGAGAAAAAGGAGAGGGAGAACCCACAACTATCAAGGTATGAGAATAAGAGACAGTGGAATGCTGAGCCCTGAAGGATAAAAACAGACCATCAATGTAAAATCAGTATGCCACATCAACATATGCCCACAGAGATTCAGCAGCTTATTACTTCAAATGATCTGAATAGCACAGCAAACCTGCATAAGTTCTAATTCATTCCAAGAGAATAGACCTGCAGCCATTGCTAAAAAACAGAAACAAAACTAAAACAAACAAAACAGCCAAAAACAAACAAACCTACAAACTTCAGGCTCCACAGATTCCTAGACTTTAAGATTCTTAATCCACATTTTTTATGAGAACTATACTAAAGGAGGTGGGAAAACAGCAAGAAAATAGTTTTAATGTTTCAATAGTCTTATTCCTGGAAGTAAAGTTGTGTGTGCTTATGTTTGTGTGTCCATGTGTGCATACACACACAGAAGTTAGAAGTCAATGTTAGGTGTTTTCTTCAGTTGCTTACCATCACATTTCTCTTTTTGTTAATTTTTGAGACGGGGTCTTACTATGTAGCCCTAACTAACCTGGAACTCTCTATGTAGGTCAGAACTGGCCTTGAACTCAGAGATCTACCTGCCTCTATCTCCCAAGTACCAGGATTAAAGGTAAACACCACCTCAAACAGCTTTCCATGATATTTTTAATACAATGCCTCTCACCGAACCTGCTCACTGAGTCAACAAAACTTACTGACCAGCAAGCCCTAGTAATATGTGTGCTCTGCCTCCTCAGAGTATTACAGGCATAATCTGCCATGCCTGGCTTTTTATATAGGCCCTAGGTATCCAAAAACTCTACCAATGGAGTCACCTCCCCATCTCTGAGGTAGTTATTAACACTCTAAAACTGCTATACTATGGGATAAACAAATGAGTAGTCATGTGGTATTCCAATCTAACAATGGCCTTAGGAACCCAGGTTTTTGAGTGTGGAAGAAAGAAGATACAACTGTAAAACCAAATGAAAATAAGTAGTAAAACGCAGAATACTCAGGTCACAAATTTACAAAGACGTGTCACTATGAACTTAGGATCCCTAACTCTATTCACTGAAATGACCTAGAAGGCAATGACTAAGCTAGGTATAATAATACAGACTTCTAGTCTAGTTTATGATCTTCAGCTATTGTGCAACCTGATGAAGGGTAGGTACAAGATGACCCAGGAGCATTGTATCAGAGAGTAAGGAAGCTACCAGACTCCAAGGATTGTGTCAAAGGATGCAAATGCCAATCTTTAAGAGCTGTTGCAACAGCAGCAGAAGGCAACAAAGAAAACACATTTCAATTCATGAGTTCTGATATCAAAGAAGTCTAACTGGTCATTGCTACATGTTATTATGAAAAATGGTAAATAAGAATCAAGAATTTATACTGCCTTTGAAATAAACAGATAAAGAGTTTCTTCATGGAAAATCCCAACCAGGAAACAAGCAATGAACCAATTAAATATCAATTACTAAATTCATTTAGGCACCATGTGCCCTATTACCACTAATAAAAACTGAGGATCCCAAACATTACATATTTCCTGTAAGAACATTCAACCACCTCTGAAGTAACCTTACCTGCCCTCAAATAATTAACTAATCTGATTAAAAAATTTCCCCAAGGCAGGCATGGGGAACACGCCTTTAATCCCAGCACTTGAGAGGCAGAGGGAGGTTGATCTCTGAGTTCGAGGCCAGCCTGGTCTATAGAGCAAGTTCCAGGACAGCAGCTACAAAGAGAAACCCTATCTTGAAAAATGAAAACAAGCCAGGCAATGGTGGCACACGCTTTTAAGCCCAGCACTTGGGAGACAGAGGCAGGCAGATCTTTGTGAGTTTGAGACCAGAATGGTCTACAGAATGAGTTCCAGGACAGCTAGGACTATTTCACAGAGGAAACCCTATCTTGAAAAAAGAAAAATGAAAACAAACAAACAAAATTCCTGCCCAACCCCTCCCCAAACAACACAAGAAAATCTAATCAGTCTCTAGGTATAACTATCAACTAATACAAAACATACACTACCTGGCTTAGGACCACTATGAACTTTGATTGAATGTGATGGTTCACCAGAGCCCAACTTCTCTATAGCTTGTGGATGAATTAATTCTTTAGAGACTTCTTTCTTTAAACTTTTTTCTTTCATTTTATCTTCACTCTCTATGCTTCCTTTGAGGTCACTGCTGATTGTTTTAAGATCACACTTTATATCCAACTTGTTTATTAATGCAAAGTCACCAGCAACAGCATCCTCCATTGTAGAATCCATGGGCTCATCTACAAATGAGAAAAAACGAAAGCCCATCATCAGTTATATTATCTGACCCATCTAAGCTTAATATAACTGTAAGTAACCCTGCTACTGCAGTGCATCTACCAAATTCACTCTCCCGCCTTTCAAAGCAAGGAAGCTACTAGGCCTGAGGCATGGCACTCTAGCATGAAAATGTACCTCCATAATTGTGCCAGCTGTGGTCAAGCTCCCAATGACAGATACCCAACTGATCTAGCTAGTTCTGTCTTAAAGAATATTGTGACCTAAGATTTCAACCCTACCCCTTGGCCTGGTGACTATGTCACCTCCTATGAAATCAGTTTTAGACACAAATGAGAAGCCCATAACAAGTTAAACAAAGAACCAAATGTACAGGCCACATAAAGACATAGGCAATCATCAATTTACATATGGACTATGATTTTTAGACACCAAAAAAATTTCAAGACATTTCTTACAGTGATATACATATAATATTCCATCAGAACTACAACAAAACTATTTCCAAGGCTCTACTTCGCACTTAAATTCTAAAATCAAGCCTTCTGGCATCTTTGCTGACCCCAGCTAAGCCAATCGTACTGCAAGCTATCTATTCAGAACAGTGCAAGAAGTCAAAGAACTTACCTGCTGGGTCAACCACTGTTTCTCCAGTGCTTAAGACAGTGACCGTGACACCCACAGGCATCCAACACCTACTTGTGGAATGAATGAATAAGCTAAGACTAGGGTAGGGGGTTCCCAGGATTAGGTGCTTCCTATGGCAGCAGTGAGAAAGAGCTCAGAGAATTACACTACCAAGTCTTACACTCCCCATATTAGGTATCACTTATAGGAAAATTTAAAAGTTAAAACACTGAAAAGTAAGATGAATTAAATGGTACTAATAATCTTTTACATATAGGGAAGTCACTGATAATTTAAAAGTGATCAGATAACTAAGGGACAGTTTCATAAAATACTTTGTGAAAAAATGTGTGGAAAAAGTGTGTGTGCTCGCACGCGCGTGCCTGCGTGCATGTGTGGTGTGTGATATGCAGGCTCTGTGTGGAGAACAGAGGACAACTTTTAGAAGTCAGCCATTGGCTGGGCATTGGTGACGCACACCTTTAATCCCAGCACTTAGAAGGCAGAGGCAGGTGGATCTCTGTGAGTTCGAGGCCAGCCTGGTCTACAGAGTGAGTTCCAGGACAGCCTCCAAAACAATACAGAGAAACCCTGCCTGGAAAATCCAAAAAAAAAAAAAAAAAAAAAAAAAAAAAGAAGTCAGTCATTGCCTTCTACTTTGTTTGTAAAGGTGGGTCTCTTATTTTTCTTCTACTATGCTGTGTACCCCAGGCCTGTGCCCTGGACTGCAAGCTTGAGGCAATTCTCTCATCTCCAGCTTCCATCTCTACTAGGAATGCCGGGATTACAAGGGTACAACACTTCCTCTAGCCTTTTAACTGGATTCTAGGGATCCAAATCAGGCAGTCAGGCTTACACAACTAGTACTTTTACCTGCTGAGTTCTCTTTTCCACTTGGTCTTTATTCAGCAAAGTAACTGTTCAATTTTGTGTACACTCATTTGAGCATCTGGCTCCTCTATTTACATCACAAGGACATCATTAGAAACAAGTCAGATAGGTTGTCAAACCATTTGAATATTTCAATTCAAAAAACCACATCTTTACAATGACCCTCAATTTTCTTTCAAAGACAGACTCTCCTATTATGTATTTCCTACATTTGGAGGGTCTAGTGAAACAAATGGCAGTGTCACTAGCTTTATGATAATAGTATAGGATTGTGTTATAACAGCCTCCTCCCCCTACCTGACTTGAGATAGACATATAAAAGTGTGAGCCTTGGAGAGATACATTAGTTTAAATAGTTTCCAGACCAGATCTGTTCTTACCCTCACAATTGCCTTTCGAAATCTCCCCTTTAGTCAGAAACTTCAGCATTTTTTTCAAAACTTTCTTGTGAGATTTTGATGGTTGAAACTGTAAGGGATGACACCTAGAAAAGCAAGCAAATATTTTTAAAGTTTTTAGTTAAAAAAAAAGTTTTCAGTAATGTCAATTTAGATTAGTATAGTGTAGATTGCAGCAAATTTCATGCCTGGAGATTTTTTTTATATAAAAGATATAATTTAAAGCAACTTTTAATCCTTCTCCAAAACTCACTATAACTACAGGTGAATTTCTGTGAGTTGGAGGCCAGCCTGGTTTACAAAGCTACTATCAGGACAGCTAGGGCTATTGCACAAAGAAACCCCGTTTCTGAAGAAAAAAGAAAAAAAAAGCAAAATTACAGTTATGAAATGGCAATGAAAATAATTTTATGGTTGGGAGTCACCACAACATAAAGAACTGACTGTAAATGACTGCCTGAATTTTTCTGGTCTAAAATTAGCTGTCTATGTAAAAGGCTGTCTTTGTGACTAAGAATTCCATATCAGTCTAAGTAATGTAAAATATCCTAGTATTATTTCTATTCATCAAAATTATATAGCTTAAGCAGAAATCATTTTCCTGACCATCCACAGCAATATGTGTGCCCAGTAAGTGTAAAACACACCACCAAAGGGCTGTGGAAAGAACCCCATAGCTGTTCTTAGTAGGGAAGTATAGTAGTGGCACTTGAGAAAGTTAAGGACAGAAACAACCAGTCATTTATAGTCAAGAACCTATGACCTTGCCAAGTGGGGCTTCCCATCAGGAAATTACACATCTGATGGTTTGACTTGTTAAATACTAGTTGTCACTGCTATATTTTCCCAGGGCCTGTTATAATCAGCAACTCTAGGTAATATTCTTTATACTCTGAAATAAAGTTGGGATGATTCACTGAAGTCTATCTCTGTGAGAGAGAGGGGGGGAGGGAAGGAGGGAGACAGAGAGAGGGAGGAAAGGAGAGCGCCAGCCAGGGAGTGGGTTACCCCCAGTTGAATCCTTGACCAAATGGGCTCCATGGAAGCCCCTAAACATCCCAGGCTACTGCCAAGGCTACTACTGGTCATTCTCCACAAATTAATGCTAAGGCCTTAACTGCTGAGGACAACACATATCTCACTTAACACAGAGGTTGAGCTGGTGCCCGACTAGAGCCTTCACACCAACTAACTAGTGTTCATGGTTCTAGAAGGCACTATGCATGCTATCAGAGGAGAAAGGTAACCATCAACCCTGCTACAAACTCTGTGACCTGCCTAAAACTATGCTGGTAAAATTGTGGCACAAGCAATGTGGAAGTAACTAACCACCCTCTGAATGGATAGAAGATCCACTCCATGAGATGGAATGAATGCCTGACATTACTCATGTGGTCATCAATCAGACTAGCTAGGTCATGGGCTAGGGGAAAATCAAATAATTTTGTTCTGCTAAAAGAACATAACAATAACTGACTACTAACAACATTCTGCTATACTCTATACACTATAAACCAGTGTCTCATCCAGCTATCATCAGAGAAGCTTCCTCTTGCAATAAATGATAACTAACAGAGACTCTGCCAGTGGCCATGGCAGAGAGGCAGATGGCACTTGAGCTTCAGGAGGTCAGGCCACCAGGAAGCAAGGCTCTGATGGGGGAATCTCGCATAGGCAAGGCCCCAAGGGCTTCAGCTCCAGAATGTCTCTGGCTACTGCTGTGCCTTTACACGTTTGCCACTGCTATTCTTCTCGTTATCTGGCATGGTGTGAATGGGTATGGGAAGATTCCCACTGCCTTTAATGTAGTATGTTTATCTCATGCTACTGGGCATTTTAACCTCCAGATTATTCTTAAGATGATTTCCTCTTAAGCTGTCTGTTGAAGTAATGATTTTATATAATAGTGCTAGTTTAGATAGAATTTTGATGATTAAGGATTTCTAACAGATATAGTAAGGGATTATGATAGAGATTAATGGAAAAATTAATATAAGTAAAGGTAGGATTCAGTGTTACCCCTACCCCTGATAAAGCAGGGGCAAAGGGACAGAAATAAGAACAAGGAAGTGTCACACAGCTAGGACTTAGGAGTTTCACTTGAGTTGTATAGACTGCAGTTTATCTTACTGATTAAGGAAAACAACTGAGTGTCAAGAGTGAAGCTGCCTCAAATTCTTTTCGATGTTGGGAAATAATGTTCGTGGGCTTCAGTGTACATCATAACTGAAACAAAGCTGTCAACAACTGACTTCATGTATAGAAAACAAAGAATTAGATGGTTAGTTAAGATAATTGAACAGAACCCTAAAATATGAAAAGTGAAACAAATAGCCTGATTTTCTGGCAATTATAAAAGCTACTGCCCATGTAAATGATTATAGCTGAAAAGCTCCTGATCTGTGAGGAGTCTAAAAGAAGAATGCTTAACTAAGTGTGAGTTCTCAGAAAATGCATAAAGATGTGGCTAAGAAGGCTGACTTGTTCCAGAAAAGAAATGTGTTTTTATGGTGATCATATATGTAGTAACTGTGTAACTTTTGGTTATGGGGGAAATCCCTCCTCTTTGTAATGGACTTGATGTGAGGAATATAAAAAAGGATGTCTGAAAAATGAAGCTGTGTTCCAGAGGCAGCAAAGGTTGTACCTCACACTGACAGCCAAACTTGGCAGTGTTAAGAGTCACCCAGCTGGTACTGGTTTTGAAGGCACAAAGGGGTCATGGAGAACAACCGAGGCTTGGCACTGTGAAAGGCCAGAAAGGGTGAAGGTGCAGCCTCAGCAGCAGTTGAACTCAGGACTGAAGGGGTCATGTAAAGAAGTTGAGGCTTGGCACCATGAAGACAGCCCAGGAGGAGATATTAGAGAAATTAAAGACTAGCTACAACAGAAGACTCAGCATTTCGAGATGCCAGTTCCATGGGATGACCACTAAGAACAGCAGCAGTGGTGGAGTAGAGCCTGCCAGATCCTAGAAGTCAAACTGCGTACGAGTCCTTTAGAAGAGTCCAGAGTACATGAGTGAATTACAGATACTGAACATTGAGTCATTTACACTGTTGGAGTTGGGTTTCGCTTTGTTCAGATTGTGACTGTGCCTTGGTTCTTTCCTCTTTCAGAACGGACTTGATTTTTTTGATTTTACAAGAGTCCACAGTTGAGAGACTAAACTTAAAAAAAAAAAAAGAGAGGGAGAGAGATTTGGGGTTTTACAGAGAATTTGGATTTTAAAAGAAACTGGATAGTTTTAAGGACACAACTTTTTTTTTCCGAGACAGGGTTTCTCTGTGGCTTTGGAGGCTGTCCTGCAACTACCTCTTGTAGATCAGGCTGGTCTCAAACTCACAGAGATCCACCTGCCTCTGCCTCCCAAGTACTAGAAGGACCCAACTTTTAAATTAATTAAACTTGGAAGGCTATGGGGCTTAAGTTACTAAAGTGTTTTATATTGTGGGGTCTTTACTAACATGTGATCTTGAGGATGAGTAAGAAAGGAAAGGTTGTGACTTAACAGTAATGTGTTTGTGTGTCAAGCTGACAAGAGGTCAATTGTGCTGGATAGTTCTGTGTCAACTTGACACGAGCTAGAACTACCTGAAATGAGGAAACCTCGATTGAGAAAATGTTTCCATAAGATCCAGTGTAGGGCATCTTCTTAATTAGTGGTCCTGGTTTCTATAAGCAAGCAAGCCAATGAGGAGCAAGCCAATAAGCAGCACCTCTCCATGGCCTCTGCATCAGCTCCTGCCTCCAGGTTCCAGTACTGCTTCATTTCCTTCATTGACTTCCTTCAATGATAGACTATAATCTGGAAGTATAAACCAAATAAACCCTGTTCTCCCCAACTAGCTTCTGGTCATAGTGTTTCACTGCAGCAATAGAACCCCCTACTAAAACAGGGTCCCAGCAGGGGCTGTAGAGATGGCTCAGAGGTTAAGAGCACTGACTGCTCTTCCAGGGATCCTGAGTTCAATTGCCAGCAACCACATGATGGCTCACAACCATCTACAGTTCAATCTGGTGCCCTCTTCCTGGCATGTAGGTAGAACACTGTATATGTAATAAATAAATAAATCTTAAAAAAAAAAACAAAACAGGGTCCCAGCACTGAGGAGGAAAGGTGGGCATAATCTCAAACTCTTAATCAAGAAGCTATCTGCAGCCAGGCGGTGGTGGAGCACGCCTTTAACCCCAGCACTTGGAAGGCAGAGGCAGGCGGATCTCTGTGAATTCGAGGCTGGGCTGGACCGACAGCCTCCAAAACAATACAGAGAAACCCTGTCTCGTAAACCCCCCCCCAAAAAAGAAGCTATCTGCAATTGACATCCACTTTCAAAGCAAAAATCAGTTTACTTCTTCCATTTAAAAAAAAAAAAAAAAACTAGACTCTGCCAGCCAGTGGAAGCCTACATCTTCAATTCCAACACTCAGGAGGCAGAGGCAGACAAATCCTGAGGCCATCCAGAGTCTACAGAGCTAGTTCCAGGACAGCTGGGGCTACACAGAAAATCCCTGTCTTGAGGAAAAAAAGAAGTAATTTGAATATTTACCAATATTTCATAGTATCTACTAGCTAACAAGGAAAGTATTTTATTCATAACATCTTTATAGCAGGACTAAACAATATTAGAATCGGCTTATCAACATGTGGATTCCAAGTCAGAATGTAGAAAAGATAATTCATATACTTTCCTTTTCTTTATACTGTCTTACTAAAATAGAAGTAGTATTTCAAAAGCCTAATATCCTACTTTAAATACACACCATCTTTGTATTGTAGAACCTTACCTTATGGTATACTGAGGACAGCATGTTCGATTCATGACAGGCTTGTATATGTATTTCCCACTTCTAAAATCATAAAAATAGCTTGTTAATTTCTTATATACTTTTCACATGTACCAAAATAGATTAGAAAAACTCAAGAGTAAAAGTCTAATCAATAGCCTTAAAAAAAAAAAACTTTTTTCTTTCTTAACCTCAGCAGAGTCACTCCAAGGTCAATCCTTTCGTTCTCACCAGCACCTGCAACTCCTTCAGTGCCTTTACCTGTACTATATCAGTACCACAGAGACAGTAATAAATCTGTGTGCGATGAGGTTGAAGCATTGGCTCAGTGGCTATGAGCATCCAGAGGACCTGAGTTCAGTTCCCAGCACTCAAAAATCCCACTACTTCAGCTCCAGAGGCTCCAACACCACTGGCCTCTTCCAGTACCTCATTCACATGTACATGGCACCATACAGACACACACCCATACACTCAATTTTAAAACTAATAAAAATATTTTTAAAATTAAAAGAAAAATGCCCATGATGCTGTGAGACAGATGGACCTTGCTCAGGGACACACACACACACACACACACACACACACACACACACACACACAGTGCCAGCATAAAGTACCACAAAACAAGCCTCATTTACAGGCACTGTACACCTGGGGGTGGTAGAACCACTGACTGACTTCTCAAGCCAGGAACCTGAGAGTCATTTTAGACTATTGTTACCTTACTGTATACTTACTGAAGACAGCATATCTCCTATCAAAAGGTTTCTTCTTGCAAAACATACCTTAAATTTGTCCTCTCCTCATCGCCACTAAGGTAGTACAGAAGCCCTTGTTTCTTCTCTGGAACTCTGTCTTCCTGCCTCCTCTCAAATATCTCTTAGAAATGAACCTTCTAAATGAGGAACTAAAACAAATTTCCTCATATTGCTCTCATATAAAATCCCTGAATGGCTCCTTCTTACCTTAACAAGAATCCTTATTGTGTCATCCAAAATCCTACAACATCTGACCTCCATCAACATTTGAGACTCACATTAGAATGAATGGATGTTAACATTGTAATTGGCATACTCAAGCTTGGCTTCAGAGAACACTGGCATCCGGGACTGAATGTTTCATATTGTTTATATTTATATAAGAAACTTTCCTAAAAGTTACTTAACAATAACTATCCAACCAGGCCTCGTGGTATACACCTTTAATCCCAGTACTCAGGAAGCAGACCCAGGTCTACATAAGAGTTCTAGATCAGTCAAGGGTACACAGTAAACACTGTCACAAAAAAAAAACTACCAAGAAAATGCAACGTATGAACAATTACAGAATCAGTTAATCAGCTGAGTGTATGTATATGTGAGTCTGTGTGTACATGTGTGTGTTTAAGACAATCTTGGGTCAGTGGGGTAGCTCCGTGGATGTAGGCATTTGCTGCCTAGACTGATGACCTGATATGATCTCCAGAATACACACAGTAGAAGCAAAGAACAACCTCCCATAGGTTGTCCTCTGACCTCATATACATTGTAGCACACAGAAGCCAATATCCAAACACAAATAAGTAAACATAAAAAAATGAATTTTTAAAGACAATCGAGGAACTGGGAATACGGCTCAGTAATAAAAAGGTCTTGCTGTGTAAGCACAAGGTTGGAGTTCAGATCTCCAAATGCCAGGCAGCCATTTGTAATGTTGGCTTGCAGGAGGCACAGATAGGGACTCCCTGGAACAATGCTGGATAGTCCAACTAGTCAAAATGGCACTAACTCTAGATATAGTGAGAGACCCTGTGATGAGCAATCAGTCAGCCTATATATACATGTACACCTATATATACATATACACCTATATATACATGTACAGCCTATATATACATGTACACCCAAACATACAAAAACTTCTTAGTAAACCTAGAAAACAAAACTGAGAAGCTAGCAAAACAGATCATCAGGTAAAGGTGCTTGCTGCCAAACATGCATAAACTCACCAGCTTATGCTCACTTGCATATGTACGCGCTCTCTCTCTCTCTCTCTCTCTCTCTCTGTCTCTCTCTCTCTCTCTCTCTGTCTCTCTCTCTCTCTCTCTCTCACACACACACACACAGACACACACACACACACAGAGTAAAAATCGTTTGGAAACAGATTTTTAAATGAGTGCTAAGTACCATCAAAAAATTATATTTTGTTTTTCTGAGACAGGGCATGTAGCCCTGGCTGGCCTGGAGCTCACTATGTAAACCAGGCTAGTCTCAAACTCACAGATATCCACCTACCTCTGCTTTCCAATGCTGGAATTACAGGCATGAGACACCACACTCAGCAGAAAAATTAGTATTAATTTTATAAGATGATAAAGGTATGGTAGATAAGTTAAAAGGAAAACCATTACTTCTTAGTTATATCTACGCCAATATGCTTTCCACAATAATATTTAGCATATAACCTTCTGGCAAATGTTTTGCAGAGGAGGGACAGCATAGAATAACTCCAGTAACTGTCAAACATTAGTAATAAACACACAAGACTCATTATAATGTATTTTGCTTTACGCATAATTTTTTAACTTTGCAAATAAATTTCGGGGAACAGGGCTGGAAAACTGGCCAAGGTAAGAGCACTGGCTACTCTTCCAGAGGTCCTGAGTTGAATTCCCAGCAACCACATGGTGGCTCACAACCATCTGCAATGAGATCTGGTGCCTTCTTTTGGCCTGCAGGCATACATGCATTCAGAACACTATACATAATAAATAAGTAAATCTTTAAAAAACAAATTTCTGAGGACAAATCAACTATACAAAACAATATAACAAACATTCTCTTAAACTTCCTTACAACTTAAGGTATTCTGAAGGCAATTCTCAGTGTACACTTATAAGATGCAATTGAGCACTGGCAGAAAGGATCGTGTTAAAGAGCTTTACCTTCTCCATCCTCGGTCTATAAGATCCTGATAGTCCTGCACGGTCAAAGAATGTGCCCACATGCCTGAAAAAGTAAGTAGTACCATGTTAATTCCAGAACACTGAATTGTCTTACTGTCTTCTTTTTAAAATTCTAAGTGCTCTCAAAACAACAACAACAAAAAAGATAAATTAGGCCAGCTGTGCTAATGCACACCTTTAATTCCAATACTCCAGAGGCAGAGACAGACAGATCTCTGTGGATCTCAGGCCTGCCAGGGCTACCTAGTTAAAAAAAAAAGTTAATTAATAAAAATGGCAAATTTAGAAGGGCGGTGGTGGCGCATGCCTTTAATCCCAGCACTCCGGAGGCAGAGGCAGGTGAATCTCTGAGAGTTCGAGGCCAGCCTGGTCTACAGAGAGAGTTCCAGGACAGCCTCCAAAGCTACATAGAGAAACCCTGTCTTAGAAAAAATGGCAAACTTAGACTACATTTCTAGAACGTTCATATTGGAGTAATAAAAAGTTTGTATGAACATAATGCATACAACACAAATGAAAATAAGATAGGCAGTTGGAGGCAGATGGACCAAGAGAGTTTAAGACCAGCTTCAATTATATAATAAATTTGAAGCCAGCCTGGGTAACATAAGACCTTGTGTCAAAAAAAAAAAACCTGGTCAGGTTATAGTGGAACATACCTTTGATCCCAGCACTCAAAGAGGCAGAGACAGTTAGATCTGTATGAGCTCAAGGCCAGCCTTGGCTACATAGTGATGATCTCAGGTTAGACAGGAATACATAAGAGAAACCCTGTCTCAGAATAGACAATTCTAACTAAAGAATCAAATACATCAAAAGTGATTCAAATTTAATTTAATTGAAGATTAATAAAAAGTCTCTATGACATAAATCTAGATTCTCATTGGAATTGGACTTCATCACACAAACATTTCCAATGAGTTAACACACTGGTCTCACCTATTTGAAAGTTGTCATTTGTTTGCTTTCTATTACTGAGATAAATACATGACCAAATGCAGTTCTTACAGTTTACAATCCACCATGAAGGGGAGGCAAGGCAGGAAGTGGGGGAAGGAATATGCAGGCGGTACCTCAAGGCAGGAAGTGGGGGAAGGAATATGCAGGCGGTACCTTAAGGCAGGAACCTGGAGGCAGGAACTGAAGCAGAGGTCACGAAAGAACTCTGCTTACTGGCTTGCTGTCCATGGTTTGCTTAGACTGCCTTTTTTGTACACCCTAGTTCAGAGGTGGCATCAGCCACAGGGAGTTTGGCCCTCCTACATCAAACACTAATCAAAAATGCCATACAACACACTTGCCCTACTGGTCAATCTGAAAGAAACATTTTCTCAGGTGAGGTTTCTTCTTCCCAGACAACTCTAGCTTATGTCAAGGTGACAAAAAAAAAAAAAAAAAACTAACCAGCACAAAGGTATGTTAGTTCTAATAATTGATATGCATAATATATACAGCACAGGCTTGATCAACTAAAATAGGAAAATTACACATAGAAAATATTCATTCTAAGTAAGTAAAGTGACAGTAACTCAAATCCCAAGGAAGGGCACAGAAAGAGGATGACTGGGAATCCGACATTAGCAATACTGTGGAATAACTATGAAACTATAGGGAGAAAACAAAGATGATGAGGATTAACATGTAAAGGGCATACCTAAACTAAAGTTTAAAAAGACAAGGATTTTTTCTTCCTTTTGCAAATGAAGGAAATTGTATGAGAGATAAGTACAGGAGCACACATTATAGAATGGCATGCAGAAGGGGAGAAAATGGTGTTAGAGTCCAAGAGAAATGTCAGGAAGCCAATGCTACGCATTAGTTCCCAGCCCCAGGTTCCTGCATCGAGGTGCCTGCCTCCACTTCCTGTCCCGCCTCCCCTTCATGAAGGATTGTAACTGAAAGATGAAATAAACCCTTTTCCTCCCCAAACTGCATTTGGCCATGGTGTTTATCACAATAGAAAACAAACAAATAGCCAACTTTCAAATGGCAGTCACTCGCTAATGACAAGTTAATCATCTGAACCTCAATTTACTCCTCTGTTGTTTGAGGCCAGTCAGATGTGGTAAGAATATAAGTCACCCAACAGAAAGAAGGGTGCCCTACAGTATTACAACCGAAATGTTAGAAATTTATAGCTATTTCTCTAGATGGAAAGACTTTTCTTCCACAAATCTTGAAACACAAAACATTTATGTTGGCCAATTTTCCTTTACTCAAAGGCAGCACTGTGCTTCCCTCGGGCCTTATTCCTCTGCATCCTGTTTATTTTATTTAACCCTATGCTGTAAGCATGTTTCCACTTAACTGGCCTTCAAAATGGTACGTTTAATGACGGTGTAACTGTCCACCCAAAACCACAGCTCCACTAACAACACATTGTTCCCTAATAAACACTTTTTTTTCCCCCAAGACAGGGTTTCTCTGTGTAGCCCTGGCCATTCTGGAACTCACTTTGTAGATCAGGCTGGCCTCAACCTTACATAGATACTCCTGCTTCTGCCCACCATACTCGGCCAAATCACTAACAGTCTTTCAAAATGCACAAACGTCTAACCTAAATTTATGTTTTCAGTTACCTCATTTTCCACCTGTTGGATTATCTAAATCGTCCATCCCACATTCCGTATTTGCCAATCATGACACATCAGTACCACGTTCGGTTTACAAACAAAATTACTTTAAGAAACCTAAATCCTAGCCAGGCCGTGGTGGTGCACGCCTTTGATGCCAGCACTTAGGAGGCAGAGGCAGGCAGTGAGTTCGAGGCCAACCTGGTCTACAGAGTTCCAGACCTGCCAGGGCTACACAGAGAAACTCTATCTCAACAAAATCAAAAGAAAAGAAAGCTGAATCCTGACAGAACACCATGTGCTGACTTTGTTGTGGTCTTCGAGGTGGGTTGACAGAATGGCATGATACGAATCCCTGATTTAAAATACATAAAGCAGGTGGAGACCATCAGTCTAGAGACCCTGTTTTCTAGTATGTTCTCCAAAGATGACAGTGCGCAGGTGTGCACGCACACGCCCCTCCACACAGGCAGCAGGGGGTCCCTGGCTGTCCCGCACCCAACGCGGGACGCGGGGATGCAGGGCGGCCGTCAGCTCTAAGGAGCCTCCAAATCTCCTTTCCTCCCTTTCCGTCCCGCACGGACCAGCAGCTGTTCGCGGACAGGAACGAGGGCGGAGCAGACCCGGGGTTCTTCCCGATGCTCCACAGGCTGCGGCCGCCCTAGTCCCTCAAGCCGCGGCTGCCGGCTTCCCACGCCCGCCAGCCGGGCTCGCTCACCGTTGGAGAGACTGCACGACTCATTCTTGCAATAGCCACACTGGTACAGGGACTGGCCCTCAAAATACTCTACGAGGCTGGGAGAAGGCGCGCTCCAGGAAGCCATCGCCTCGGGCCCCGCCGGCTCAGTGCCGCCCAGTCCAACGCAGCCGCCGCCGTCGCCTCCACCACCCCACAATGCAGTGCGCGCGCGGCTCCGAAGATCGCGCGAAGCCACTCGGGCGCTCGCGGGCCGGAAAGACCTGGCAACTTGCGTGACCGACGCCGCCCGCGCCATATTGACTGAGGGCAGCCTTCCGCTATTTCCGTTCCTCCTCTGTGAGGGGCGGCTATCATCTGTGAGGGTGAGGTGGGAAGACCGAGATGGGAAGGAGGTAGACTGGGGAGAGACGAATGGGACCGGGAAGCTGGAGTCGGGTGACCAACGGCCTTAACCCTGCGCTAGGGACCTGTCGGGACGTAGCAAGAGCCAGGCGGGAGGCGGTTACCACCACCCGGACGACGGGACACTCACCACACGACGCCTTCCCCTCCCTGGACTCGCAGTAGCCACAGTAGTAGCCGGCCTTCAGGCCCTTATATTCCACCACCGAGGCCATGGCCGCCGCTGTGGGCTTGAGGGCCGACCACGCCTCTTAGCGCCAGGCAGGGGCCGACCTCGGCGGGGCGCGCGGCCCGCGGCAGGTACCGGGTTCGCGCCTCTCCGCCGCCGGATCCCAGGGCGGACCTCTGGACGCCCGCCTAGGTTGCAGGGTTGCGCCTCTAAGACCGGTGTTTGTGCCCAGCAGTTTACTTGCTCAATCAGCAATCCTTATCACTTACAAGCGAGTTATCAGCCGCTTTTATAGATAAGGAAACTGAGGCTCCAGGTTGTGATTCACTTTCCACAGGTCTCTGAAAGTTAACCCTCTTCCAACGACTGCTCCTGACCAAACCAGCTGGCTTTAAATGCAGTAGGCAGAAGAGCATAAACATTCCAGGACAACGAGGGTTCTAGAATTGAAACAGGAACTAAGTGGCTAACGATGAAGTGCTGGGATTTCTAAGGTAGAAATCCAGGTGGTGGTTTATGCACAAAAATTTAGTATCACTGAAAGAGAATTTCTAGCTCTATACGCCAAAGGCTGAAAATTCATCCCATGGATCTCCAATTTGGAACCAATTTTAAAGAGCATGTTTTAGGGCGTAAGGGTGTGAGCAAAGTATAAAAATGAATGCATACTTCTGCCAAGGGAATCTTCTAGAAACAACAGTTAAGGCTGGCAACATAATTTCCATAGTCGATAATAACAATTCCTTTTTAGAGTATTGAGAAAGTAAAATCATGAAACTTTTTTTTTCTTTGGATTTTCGAGACAGGGTTTCTCTGTGGCTTTGGAGCCTCTCCTGGTACCCCCTCTGTAGACCAGGCTGGCCTCGAACTCACGGAGATCCACCTGCCTTTGCCTCCCAAATTAAAGGAATTAAAGGCATAAGCCACCGCTGCTCGGCATAAAGCAAACTTTTTTTTTTTTTTTTTTTTTTTTTTTTGGTTTTTACGAGACAGGGTTTCTCTGCATAAGTTTCGGAGGCTATCAGTCCAGCCCGGCCTCGAACTCATAGAGATCCGCCTGCCTCTGCCTCCCGACTGCTGGGATTAAAGGCGTGCGCCACCACCGCCCGGCTTAAAACAAACTTTTAAAAATTATGCTTGCACCTGTCTTGCTTGCAAGTATCAGATAGGTGTACCACCTTCATCCAATGCCAGAGGAGGCCAGAAGGCATTGTACTCTCTGAAACCCGACCGGCAGATAGTTCTGAGCTACCGCATATGGTGCTGGCAATCAAACCCTGGGTCTTCTGCCACTGAGCCATCTCTCCTGTCTGTGAAGAAACTGTTTTTAGACTGTTAATGGAGCTCAAGATGGCCTTGATCTCTGAACACTGATGCCCCAGGGTCCGCTGTGCTGGAATTGCAGGTGCAGTTAAATATGTTAAATGCACCTGCAGTTAAATATCTATTAAATGTATATTAATATTAAATATATAAACTTCTTAAGTAAATTTCACTGTTTTTGACCCTAAGCCTTAGGGTCTAAGGCTGTCTGTGCTGGAGATGTGTCTAGTTAAGTTTGATAGTTCATGCCCTGGTGACTTAACATGGCTGAGCATCATTTGTTCCTCATACAGTTAAGAACCTAAGAGGTGATCTTGCAGTATATAAGGGTAAAATTGGAGATTGTTGCAGTTCGGTGCCCATGTTTTTTATGAAAAGCTTCATCTGTTTTGTTTTTTGTGGCAGGCCTGACTCTTGCCAGGCTGTTCCCAGAGAATCTCTGATTTGGATAAAAGCAAGGATGTGTGGATTTTCTCTAAAAGGGCAGAATACCATGCTCTACACAGAAGGTAGGAAGAAAGGCTCTTTGATCTTTTCATGAACAGTAGCACCCCCATCCCACACCCCAGAAATGATGTCACTTAAAAAATACTTATTTATGTGGATGAGTGCTTTGATTGCGCGCGTGCGTGCGTGCGTGCGTGCGTGCGTGCGTGCGTGCGTGCGTGCGTGCGTGCGTGTGTGTGTGTGTGTGTGTGTGTGTGTGTGTTCATGTCTGGTGCCAAAAGAATCTACAAGAGGGCATCATATGCCCTGGAATTGGGATTACAGAGCATTGGGCTCCACCTTACAGATGCTGTAAATTGATCAAAGTGCTCTTAACTGCAGAGCCATCTCTCCAGCCCTTGGTTTCCCTTTTTTTTTTTTTTTTTTTTCTTTTGAGATAGGGTTTTACTATGTAGTCCTGGCTATCCTGGAACTCACTGCGTAGACCAGACTAGCCTCAAACTCAGAGAGCTCTGCCTACCTCTACTTCAAAAGTGCTACAGTCAAAGATGTGCACACACCACCATGCCCAGTATTGGCTTCACTTTTTTTTATTTCAGTTATCCAGTCAAGCACTGTCAAAAATATATAATAGTCCAGTATGTCCAAAAGTGTATAATATTCTAAAAAAAACAACTCCAAAGTTGTAAGTTGGGTGTCATTCTGAGTTAGGTGATGAAATTGCTTCTTGTCCCAACCTGCTGTTGTTCCAGCCTGCCCTGCTTAGCATATGAATTATCTGTCCAGCAATTCCATGCTGTATATGTCATATAACATCACTTTATTGCATTGACTGTCAATTTATTGCAATCCCTGTGTTCAAGTAGCCCTTAATTACCTACTGACATCAAAGCATACAAATACTTATGCTAGCCTTTAATCTCAGCACTTGGGAGGCAGAGGCAGGCAGATCTCTGTGAAGTTCAAGACCGGCCTGGTCTACAGAGTGAGTTCCAGGACAGGCTCCAAAGCTACATTGAAAAAAAAAAAACTTATGCTGGCATTGGGGCATGCCAAAGATAAGCCATAAGTTGCTTCTCTTAAGTGAAAATCATCACAAAGTGGAATCCAACCTGAGCTACAGAGCAAGACCCTGACTCAAAATAAATTTAGTTTTTCAAAGCTGGATTCACATACTTTTGTTATTATGGTACATTGTTGTAATGATTCGACTACTGTTAATCTTTTACTGTGCATAATTTATAAGTTAAACTTGGTTGCCGGGCAGTGGTGGTGCATGCCTTTAATCCCAGCACTCGGGAGGCAGAGGCAGGCGGATCTCTGTGAGTTCGAGGCCGGGCTGGACCCTGCCTCATAAAAACCAAAAAAAAAAAAAAAAACTTGATCATAGATATATATCGTATGTGAGAAAAACAGTATGTGTAGGCTTTAGTACTGAAAGGAATAGTATGGACTCTAGACCCCCCAGGAACAAGTTCTCACCACAAAGAAATATTATGGCCAGGTAGTAGTGGTGCACCGCTTTAATCCCAGCACTCGGGAGGCAGAGGCAGAGGCAGGCAGATCTCTGTGAGTTCTAGGCCAGCCTGATCTACAAGAGCTAGTTCCAGGACAGCCTCCAAAACAATACAGAGAAACCCTGTCTCAAAAAACAAAACAAGCCGGGCGTTGGTAGAGCACACCTTTAAATCCAGCACTCGGGAGGCATAGGCAGATGGATCTCTGTGAGTTCGAGGCCAGCCTGGTCTACAAAGCAAGTTCCAGGACAGCCTCCAAGACAATACAGAGAAACCCTGTCTCGAAAAAACCAAAAAAAAAAAAAAAAAAACCAAAAACAAAATCAAAAACAACAACAACAAAAAAAAACCGAAGGTGACTTGTTTGCCCCAAAGGGACAGAAGGCAGGCAATAAGAGACAAAGACAGAATAGGGAGGGACAAAGGACTACTAGCTAGAGAGGAGACGGACATGACCTATAGGAAAATGGCAATTTAGAATGGTAAAAGGGGAAACCCATGTTATGATGAGGTGTTTAATTTTAATTGGGCATGTTAATTAGGTGAGGAGGGGGCTTTTGATTGATGGGTTTCAATATTTTGATAGTTGGGCCTTAGCAGTCAGCCTCAGGAGGAGGGAGTAGCCAAATAAGGGAATAGACCTTGGGGACTAGCTTTAGGGAACATAATCTAATGGTTTTTAGCAGGCAGATGGAATCAGGGAGAAGGACAAGTACCACCCAGAGTCATGTTTCCCAAGCTCAAACTGACTAGAGTCCCTTCAAATACTATCATCTACAGTTCTGAATATCTACTGGAGGATTTTGAAATAATGAAAATATAGATATAAAAACAGATGAGAAAACTACTATACTCTTCTCTCACTTTGTCTCATCCTTAGCCAGTGTACTCAAGAATAGTCCATCTTAAACAATAATAATGAGAATGTCCAAAATCCTGGGCATGTATGTTAATTTACCTTGCATTACAGCAACATCACCAGATGGAAGACATAAGCCAGAGAGGTTGAAAAACTTGCTGAATGTATACAACTAGTAAAGGACATACAGGAGGGATAAACAGGAATTAAAAAGAAACCAGTAAGGCCCATGTGTGGTGAATGCCTTTAATCTTAGCAGTGAAGAGGCAGAGGCAGGTTGGATGGCTCTGAATTGGAGGCCTTGTCTACATAGTGAGTTCCAGCCAGTTCAGGGTTACACAATGAGAACCTTTGAGACAGACAGACAGACAGACAGACAGACAGACAGACAGACAGACAGAGAGAAATTTTTCTATTCTAGGCCCAAAGCTTCAATTTGTGTGTTTCCTCTAGTAAAGGAGTAATGTAGAGTTGTCTTTGCTT